AAAGACACAGGGAAAATAGACTTTTTTTTTTTTTAAAGAATTATTTTATTGGGACCAGCAGTTGGCATAATGGCTATGTCACTGGACTCCCAGGTAGTTGACCACGGTTCGAGTCCCGGACCCAATGGCTTAAACTCACGCCAGGCGCATGTGCGGGTGCACACAAGATCCGAAAGGAGAATGGAGAAGGGATTGTGGTGTGACCATCCCACCCCGGGGGGGTGATGTCTCATTTTTTCTCTGTCTCTCTCTGTCTTTCTGGCAAGAGCACATGCCCTATAGCAAAAAACTCTCCAAAAGAAGTATTATTTTATTTAACTTCATTTACTTATTTATTTTAATTTGACCAGAGAGGGACAGAATGTGTGTGTGTGTGTGTGTGTGTGTGTGTGTGTGAAAGAGAGAGAGAGAGAGAGAGAGAGAGAATGAGAAAGCAAGCTGCCAGGTCCAGGACTTAAATGCAGTTGGCCCTGTGGAAGTCCAATGCTCTTAACCACCAGGGCACCACCAGACCCCATTTTTGTTTTTTTAAATGCATCACACACGAATTACTAAAATCCTATCTTGAAACTATTTTATTCCAAAATATAATATACCTAAATATTCTAAATTATTCCTAACAAAAATGATTCACAAATGCTTTCATTTTGAGAAGCAGAACATTATTTCACATGCAAATCAAAAATTATTTTTCTACTACTTTTTTAACTAATCTAGAAAATTAGAAATCAAAAGGGCATTAATAATTTCTATTTAAGTTTGAGGGAAGATCAACACCAGATTCATCCTAGAGGCTCAAGTAGGTTCTCTATTTTGAGCAAGAACATACAATTGGATGAAAATTACTTGCTTTATTCTCTTTCAACACCTTGCATTAGCTCAGGACTGGGCTGGGAGTGCTTTAGCCTTCACAAAGTAAATGATGTACATTTAGAATAGCCATAATCTTGAAAAGCCTACAGCCCAATTAAGGAGGCAGGACACACATTTGTGGATTATAACTAAGCAACACATCATTAATGTCAAAGAAATCTCAGTAACAATTCATTTTGTCTTCCAACTGTTGGGCAAATCTTCACAGCCGTTGGAATTTGGTCTAAGTCTAAGAGGATAGATAAAGACTTTTTAAGGTTAGAGGATAAGAAATAGATTGGAAGGGAAAAGCATGGTTACACAGCTATTGTTTCAGACGATGAGACTTAATCCGTTATGTAAAAAAGTTCCAGTCTATAAATTTACTTTTACCAGAACCTCTTTTATTTTAAATACTGAATAGAATGTTTAAATTTAGTTATGGAGAAAGAGCAGGGAAGGACCAGCAGTTAGCGTAATGGCTATGTCACTGGACTCCCATGTAGTTGACTGCAGTTCAAGTCCTGGACCTGGTGGCTTAAAACTCACGCCAGGCGCATGTGCATGCATGCCCAAGATCCCGAGAGGAGAATGGGGGAGAAGTATCTGAGGCGCTGCCACCCCCCCCCGGGGGGGGGGGTCTCGCTTTCTGTCTCTGGCTGTCTGGCGAGCGCATGCGCCCTATGGCAAAAACCTCTCCAAAAAAAAAAAAAAGAAAGAGCAGGGCAATATCAGGGTAGCCTTGTTCTACACTTCATTTATGATCCCACTTGGGCTGCTGAAAAAGGAGCTTGGTCCTGGGAGAGATGATAAACATCTATGGTTCATACACCTTTGGCTAAACTCCAAAATCAAAATATTTTTTCAAAACTACCCTCTTACTGTTTTTCCCTATTATTCCACAAAAACAAGACATTAACATGTAATTTATGCTGGCCCCTCTTTAGAGTAAAGGAGATCTAATTCTCACTAAACTCTCCCGTCTCATTATTTTCATGTTATATAGTTCACTGCTCCATCTGTTTCTTGCCTCTTCTGCTGCTTTTACTCTGATCTGCCTAAAATGAAAAGAAACACAAACAAACAAAAAAGTTGAACAAAACAGCAACATGAAGCATATGTTACTGTTTTTCTCTTCTCCGATCTTTGGGGAGAAATATCTACTCTTTTAAAAATATTCTATATTGAGTACTTATGACTGTTTTATTATAAAAATTAACCTGAAAAATTTACTAGAGATCTTATATATGAATATCTTATACAATGAATGGGTAGATTCAGAGCCACAGAGTGTTTTCTACTTAAGTGGACTGTAGGAATTCTCCAGGCACCAGGGATTGAGAAGTAAACAAAAAGAAGAAAATTCTCCTCTGACAAAATTTAGAGGGTGAAAAACATGAACAATGAAGAGAGGAAAGAGAAAGGAGGAAAGGAAGGAAATAATGAATGAAATTTTTCTTCTACTGGTACACAGTATGGGGAAATTAAAACAGGAAAATGTGATAAAGAGTGACTAGGAGAAAGATGGTGGTGGGTTAAAATATTTAGTTGTGGAACCAGAGAAAGCCTCTTTAAAGAGAATTTTGAGCAGAGACTTGAATGACAGAGGGGATACACTGCCAGGCAAAATGCAAAGGCTCTGAGGCAGGAAAGAGCTTGTGGGTTGAGTTTGTGAACAAAAGAGGTAGGAGAGGAAGCCAGAAAAATTGGCCAGATCAGTAGACAGTGGTAAAGAGTTTAGATTTTTACATTAAGTTTCATAGGGAGCTAGTGGAGTTTTATGGGGTCTTAGGGGGGGTGTTGTTTTTTAGGTTTTTGCCATAGGATGCCCATGTGCTCACAGAAAAGAGACAAAGACAATGAGAGGGATGATAAGAAATCCTCCCCCTCCCTGGGGAGGATGGCCATGCTGTAATCTCTCCCCCTCCACTCTCCTCCAGGGATTTTCAACTTGCATACACACGTACCTGGCATGATTTTCAAGCTACCAGGTCCAGAACTCATGCTGCAGTAGACCATGTGAGAGTTCAGGGCCTTAACCATCATGCCACCTGCTGGCCCTGCCATTGTGGTTTTTAAGTAGGTCAGTAACATGCTCTGACTTACGTATTTATAAAACACATATACACATGAACACTATATAAAGAATTATTAAGAGAGTCAAAAATGGAAGTATGTTGTTGTCATTTCTTTAAAATTCTGCTACAAAATTTTTACAATTACAAACTATTGAGAATACCCTATGACATATGTTGGGCATTTCATATGCTTATATGCCACCTTTGTGAGGCTGTTATTTTCTTATCATTGAATTTTAAGAATTCTGTGTATATTTTAAATATCAGATATACTTTTTGCTAATATCTCTTTCTTGTATTTTCATTTAACAGTGCCTTTCGTAAAGCAGAAATTTCTAATTTTAAGGAAATCTACTTACCAAATTTTTCTTTCATAGATTGTTCTTGATGTTTTATCTAGAATTTCAATGCTAAACACAAGATATCTCTTACATTTTCTCCCTGTTATCTCCTAGGAGTTTTTATGTTTTTGCATTTCACATTTAGGTCTATGATCCAGTTTTAGCTAAATTTTGCGAAAGGTGTAAAGTCTACTAGAATTCTTTTTTTTTTCATATGCATGTCCCATTACTTCAGCACCATTTCTTTCTTTATTTTTCTATTATTATTATTATTATTATTTTTGGCCACAGGGAGGTCACCAAGGAGAGACAGTGAGAAAGAAAGTGAGAAATCACCCCCCCCCGCCCCGCCCCACCCCCCAGGGAGTATCGTCTCATTGCAATCCCTTTCTGTTCCATTGCCTCTTGGGATTTGGGACACCTAAGCAAACACACTGGGCATGAATCCAGCATCTTAACCACCAGGCCACCTGCTGGCTTCCATTTTGCTTAATCCTAAACAAAGGGTGGAGACAATGAGTCTATCACATTATTGCAACTGAATAGTAACTGTTGAAAGGCAAAAATGAATGTATTTAGGCAATAAAGATGTTCATAAAACAAGTCCCGAGTCTAGGTCACATCTTAAAACTATTTCAGGTGCACACTCCTAAGACACAGATAAACA